GCACAGCACACACCATGGGGACCTGGTAGGGACAGTCACATGCCCGCAGGGGACCATGGTTAAGACAGCGAAGGTGACCAGGCCACCTCTGAGGGGTAGATGTCCGCAGCCTCCCCTCGGGCCGGGCCTGAGGAGGCCTGGACACAGCCCGGGGGCAGCCTGAGCTTGGCACATGCAAGAAATGCAGGTCCCGGAGCAGCCGCCCGGCCACCTCGCTCCTGGCAGAGGCTGGCCACCGGCTTCGCCCCTCGTCCTCCGTTCCCCTCCGCAAGGGGGCAATTCAAAGAGCCCAGCTCGGGTGTCACTTGCTGGCACAGGGCCTGGCGTGTAGTAGGTGCTCAGTGAACTCCTGTTGGACAGACGCAGCCGTCTACGCAGCCCAGTGACCGGGCCTTGTCCTTCCGCCGGCTCCTCATAACAGAGTTTTTTTTTTTAAAGAGAAAGAGAGGAGAGAATTGTAATATTTATTTTTTAGTTTTGGGCAGACACAACATGTTTGTTGGTATGTGGTGCCGAGGATCAAACCCGGGCCGCACGCATGCCAGGTGAGCGCGCGACCGCTGGAGCCACATCCCCAGCCCATAACAGAGTTTTTAAGTGACACTTTTATTTATTTTTAAATTTCTGAGATGGCGTCCCACTGTGTCACCCAGGCTGCCCGGAACCTGGGTTCAAGATGCTCCTGTCTCCGCCCCCCAGGGGCGGGCCCTGCCCACACACCTGGCCTCCTGGACATTGTTTAGTTAGCCAGGAGGGACGGCACCACTGTGGGCCAGTCCTGAGGGAGCCGATGAGACTCACCATCTTGTCGGGGAGAGAGGATCCAGAGGCAGGAAGCACGCATGGAGTGCTTACTGTATACCGGACGCCCTCTGCCCAGTCAGCTGATTGGATCATTGAGTACTCTGTCAGTATTGATTCATTCTCTCAGCGTTTTTTAAGCACCTACTGTGTACCAGGCACTGTTTGGTTCTTTCACTGATTATCCGGCCAGCATCTATTGAGCGCCTATACAGCACTCTGGATACAGCCACGAATAAGGCCCAGCCTTATTCGTCCCTAGCCTGTGCCTGGAGGCTCCCTGGGGAGGCTCTCTCCAGTAGGAAAGGATGGCTACTCCCCATCGTAAATAAGTGAAGTCTGTAGTGTCCCCTGGTGAGAAGTGGACATGAGGAAAATGAGGCAGGGAGGGGTGGGGTGGTGCTGGTCAAGCCGCCCTGTGGGTACTGGGGAAAGTGCTGAGGCATGGCCTGTGCAAAGGTCCTGAGGCAGAGCCAAGCCTGGGACAGTGCACCAGAACAGACGGCAAGGAGCAGGAGATGCTTGTCCCCAGGGAAGACGCGGGGTTGTCGCGGAGGAGCAGTCGTGCCTAACCCAACGGTCCGTGTCTCCTTCCGACCCCAAGCCAGCTCCTCACACCCTCCCATCCCGTCCATCCGTCTGTCCTGTGGGCAGTGACCCCCACTGCCACCAACCTCCACCTGGTCCCAGCTTCTGCCCCTGCCCCACAGCCTGTCGTCCCTGCAGTGGCCAGAGGGTGCTGTGAACGGATCCCTCCTCCCAGTGCCCACAGCCCTCCGCGGCTCCCACCTCCCTCCTGGTCAGAGCCCAAGAGCCCTGCGCAACCTGACCGTCCCCCGTCGCCCCCTCCTCTGCTTCCGCCCGGCCTCCTCAGGCCAGGCCCAACCTGCCCCAGGGCCGGTGCACAGCGGTGCCTCTGCCTGAGCGCCCGGCCCTCGCTTCCTTCAGCCTCAGCTCAGAGGCAGGTCCCCGAGGCCCCTGGGCCCCCTCCCGCCCCCAGCCCCCACCTCTGCGCGGCACCCCATCGCTTCCTTCAGGGCACTTTCCATTCTCGAGATGATCTGGCTCTTTGCTCACTTCCTGTTGGTCTCCCTGGGGTGACGTGTGCCACACGGGGCAGAGGAGGTGCCCGTCCCTGCCTGCAGAGCACTGAGCCGCGTGCGCACAGTAGGTGCTCAGTAAATGCTCGCTCTGTGGAGGACACGTGGGGCACGCGGGGGACCCAGGGGACCAGGAAGGTGCATCCCCGACCCGGGGAACGGGTCCTGCCAGCGCCGAGGGTGACGCTGGCCCCGGTGCCGCATGGCCAGGCCGGCGTTCAGGACAACCACGTCGTCCAGCGTCCCCTGCGGGGTGGACCCAGGGACCCTGCGTGCCGGGCGCTCTGCAAGCTGCACCCAGCCCCGAGGGCCACTCTGACGTGAGGCCGAGACGCCCCGTGGTCTGTGCCCACCTTTGGGGGTGGACTCTGTCCCCAGGCTGTGGAAGGTTCAGCAGATGACCCGAGCTCAGCGGGCAGGACACGGGGGACAGCGTCCAGGGAGTCCGGCTGAGCTCCGCTGGGCAGAGGGCAGGAAGCAGGACGGGCTGCCTGTGGGCTCTGGGCCTTCTGCGGGGTCAGGGGTCCCCCAGGTCCGGTGCCTCAGGAGCAGCTGTACTGCTGCCACCGCGGCCTGGGGCCCCTGCGCTGTCCCCCCCCCCCCCGGGGACACAGACGGGAAGGCTGAGGCTTTTGGGGGGACCGGGGATTGAACCCAGGGGCCTTAACCCCTGAGCCACCTCCAGCCCTTTTTAAGGATATTTTATCAGCGTCGGGGCCTCACTGAGTTGCTGAGGCTGGCCCTGAACTCGCCATCCTCCTGCCTCAGCCTCCTCCGAGCCTCCGGCTGCACTGAGGCTCCCTCCCGCGTGTGCACCGCGGACAGGGCCTGGCCGTGGGTCAGGCTGCTTCAGACGCGCCGTCCTCCTTCCTCCACCCAGGGCTGACGTGGGGGACGCAGCGTGCACCGGGTCCGTCCAGGGCTCAGCCTGGCGCTGGCCACGCTGGGAGCTGAGCCCCCAGCCTGCTGTGCCCTCTGCTCTGCGCTCAGGTGACTCCTCAGCTGGCGCCTGGTGAACGGCAGCCCTCAGCCCTGGGGACCTTGGCGCCTGCGTCCCTGTGGGAATGGCCGCCCAGGGCGGTTCAGCTGATGGGCTTCCTTGGGACCCAGAGCCAGCCTCCACACAAACCGCCTTTGTCACCAACCTGATTCCCAGCTGCCCCAGGGCGGCCGCAGGAAGCTCCGTCCTGTGGTTTCCTTTGCACATTTTCACATTTCACGGAGGTCACCTGGGTTCCTCCGCGGAGGCTGCGGGGACACCAGGCACTGCGTACCACCGTCAGTCGGCCACCACCACGGTTTTTGTTTTTGTCCTGGGGGTTGACCCAGGGTGCTCCACCCCTGAGCCACAACCCCAGACCCAGCCACTTTTACTTTGAGACAGGGCCTCACTAAGTTGCCGAGGCTGGCCTTGAACTTGCCATCCTCCTGCCTGAGCCTCCTGAGTTGCTGGGACGGGTGTGGCACCGGTGTTTGTCTTGCACAGTCATTTCCGGGAGCCATCAGGGAGTGGCAGGAACCTTTGACCTGAGGACCAAGCTCTGGAGGGACATATCAGTCCATGGCTTAAGTAGTCATCTTGGTAATTTCAGAAACTTTGGACTAGCTTGTGGTCCCACCTGAATATAAGATCCTTGTCGTTTTTCTCCTGTTACCACGTGCTGAGGTCAGGTCGGGGAGGGGGAGCGCGTGTCCTGCCTCCTCGGCACTCTCCGGTTGGGGGGGGGGGACATCTTCCACCCTCCACACCCCAGCCCTCTTTATTTTTTGAGTCAGGTCTTGCTAAGCTGCCCAGGGTGGCCTCAAACTTGCCATCCTCCCGCCACAGCCTCCGTCCTACTGGGACAACAGTGTGGCCGCTGTGCTGTGTGCCAATCTTCTCTTCTTAAGAGGACCTGTCCCGTGGGTTAGGGTCCCCGAAGGCTCCACTTCAACTCAATTGCCCCATAAGGACTGTCCTCAGTAGGGTCCCCTGCAAGGTGCTGAGGGCCCGGCCTTTAGCGTACGACTTGGGGACGACGCAGTGTAACCTCATGGCGATTGTGCCCTTGCTGATGACGCGTGGCAGACAGACGCGCTCGGCCTTGTGGTCACAAACGTGGGCACTGAATGGCTGCCTGCCGTGGAAGGGAAAAGACACCGCCTGCGGGTCCCCTGGCCCAGGTGTGGCAGGCGTCCTCTGTCCAGGGCCAGATGGTGTCTGCTGCAGCCACCGGCCTGCTCCAGTGCAGTGACGAGGCAGCCTTGGCCACGTGTGGGGCGGGAGTGTGGCTTTATTGACAGATACCACTGGGGGCCGCCTGGCCTGTCCCCGCCATGTGATCGGGTGGCCTGACCAACCCTGGCGGAGGGCGGGGCCGGGTCCTGGGGAGGCCCGGGGCAGCTGTGCTCCAAGCAGAGATTCAAACAGGGCGCTGCGGCACACGCCTGCCATCCCAGTGGCTGTGGAGGCCGAGGCAGGAGGATGGCAAGGGTGAGGCCAGCCTCGGCAACTTAGCAAGACCCCGTCTCAGACTAAATCAAGAAGGGCTGGGGTGGCTGGGTGCTGCAGCACCCGTGGGGCTCAGGGTTCCATCCCCTGAATAAAGGGCCTGAGGTGTGACCTCGACTCCTTTTGCTCTCAACCTTCCGCCACAGGAAGAAGGCCCTGTCGGAGGGGGCCACAGTCCGGGACCTCAGACCTCCCAACCGCGAACACACGCTCTGCTCCTCACAACCCAGCGGGCCGCGTGCTCCTTATGGCCGCCCACAAAGGACAGGGACGGCTCTGGCTCCTGGGGACTCACAGATGTGCCGGGCGGCATCCTCTTGATGAACTGGCCTGAGGTGAGTCGCAGCCACTGACCTGAGGTCGAAGTGGCTCCCGTTTTTCAAGTCCCTCTCTCCTCTGCCCACAGCCCCCCATGGCTCCCACCTCCCTTGGGGTCAAAGCCCCAATCCTCCGTGTGACCCCCAGGCCCTGTCCTCCCTGCCGCAGTCTCCTCTCCCCCTCCCCTGGCTGCTTCTGGGTGCCTCCAAGGGCCAGGCTCCTCCTGCCCCAGGGCCTTTGCACTGCTGTGCCCGCCTCCCAAAGTGCACTCAGGGACTCCGCTATGCCTTGTTAGGCTCCTGCTCCCTTCGGGGCCACCCTGGGCCACACTGTTGGCGACTCGAGCCCCACTCCACGCCGGGGACTGTCTGCCCTGCTCCCCAGCAGGCTCTGGGAAGGCGGTCATCTGTTTGTGCCCCGCTGGGCAGTCAGCACCCATTCTGCCTCGCCGTGTCCCCTCCAGAGCCATTCTTTCTCCGCCCTCTCGGCTTCCCTCAGTCCTTCCTGGATTCCTGCCCCGGGGCCCAGTGGACCTGCTCAGGATGACCTTTTTGAAAACCCTGCATCATGACCTGGGCTCCACGGGGGCCACCGGAGCAGGAGGCTGATGGACGCCAGGTCCCCCGGGCACTGTGGGCCGGGGCCGGTCACTCTCTGGTGTGGGCGTCCTGGGTGCCACAGGTTGAGAGCAGCAGCCTGGCCCCCACCCTCCGGGGCCTGCCTCCCCGCGGCTGTGACAGCCACAGCCTCCGGCCCGGGGCAGCCTGGGTTGAGAGGCAGGCTCTGGGCTGCTGGGGTCAGCTGGCACCTCCCACGTGGGTGGGCAGGAGGTCCCGGCTCGTGGCCGAGGGCAGGGGAAGTGTTCCCAGCCCCTGGGATGGCGCCAAGGCTGTTGTTCCCCAGGCCTGGACGGGGACCTGGTGGCCTAGTGCACGGCTTGGGACGCCGTCCCCAGGGTGTGTGCCCGGGGCAGGCACTGGCCTGGCTCTCCTCACCCACAGCCTGAGCGCCGCCGCCTCCACGCCCGACCAGTCTGGAGCGGGGTCAGGGCACCAGCTGCTCCCTGCAGGCCCCGTCCACGCAGGAGGGGGGACAGGGAGGGAACGGCCCGGTGGCTGCAGAGCCCCCGCAGAGGCTGAGACCTGGGTGAGGAGACCCGGCAGGTGACAGGGAAAGAACAGCTGCAAGGCAGGAGCCCGCGGTGCACAGAGCCCGGGCAGGACCCCAGCTGGCCTCTCAGCCAAACAGAGCCCAGGGGACGGCTCCCGGCAGCCCCGCAGCGGACACCGCGACAGGCAACCGTGGTCCCTGCACGTCACCGTGGGCTGTATCAGCCAGCAGTCTGCCAGACAGATCCCCCGGGACTCTGGCCGCACGCGCAGACGTTCATCAGACAGTCACCACCTCCCGGCTCGGGGTCCGGGATGGAGGGGCTGCGTGGCGGCTTGGGGGCTCTGGCACTCGGGACACTGCAGGGGGACATCACAGGGGTCCCCTGACCTGGGCTCCACTGGGGCCACAGGAGCAGCTGCCAAGTGGGGGGGCAGGAGGCCTAGGCTCCTGGCCACAAGGGCCTCTCCAGGGCTGCTCACCGCATGGCCGACCCCGCAGCGCTAAGGAGAGCCAACCAGGGCAGCGAGTCCCTGTCCCTGCCACCTCCTCTCAGTCAACGGAGCCGCCCCACACAGCACTCCAGGGCCTTCCAAGCCTGTGAACACCAGATCGTGCGTCCCCAGGCCATCCAGGTGGCCGACTGCCTCCTGGTGGGCACGGCCCAAGCGCCTGCTGGTCCAGGCTGTGGTCAGAACCTGCCATATGTTCAGGCCACCTGGTTCCCGGAACAAGCTCCCACCACAGCCATGAGGCCCGGAGCCAGGCAGCCCCGGTTCTAAGCCTGCGTTCACTCCCCAGCTGTGTGGCTTTGGGCAATCGACTTGGCCTCTCTGTGCCTCACGTCTTGTCCTTGGCAAGAGCCACGTCTCTCTGCGCCACCACGTAACTCACCTGCTGTGTCTTGCACAGGAGAAAGTGGATGTCAGAGGGAGGTGACCCAGGTTGGCTGCCCAAACATGGTGGCACCCCAGGGGAGGGAGGAGACACACCGGGTGGCCTCCCTGAGCTGCTGCTCTCGGGTGGTGACCCTGGCCCTCTCCCGTCCCCCCAGATCCGCCCCAGCAGCCCTCCAGGAACCTGGCCCGAGGTTCGGGGAAGGGTCGCCAGCATCCAGAACATGCCTCCCTGCTCCCCAGCTTCTCCTGCCTGCAGCCGCACCCACCCGTGCCCATGGCCTGCCCGGGCCCGTCACTGCCCGGTGCCTTCGACCTCCTGGGCGCGGCCGGCCAGGACAAGCTGCTCTACCTGAAGCACAAGCTCAAGACGCTGCGCCCGGGCTGCCGGGGGGCCGGCCTGCTGCACGCCATGGTGCTCCTCACGCTGGGCCAGGAGACCGAGGCCAGGATCTCCCTGGAGGCCCTGAAGGAGGACGCGGCGGCCCGGCTGGTGGCCCGCCAGTGGGCCGGCGCGGACGGCGCCGAGGCCCTGGAGGAGCCCCCCGACGTGTCCTGGGCCGTGGCCCGTCTCTACCACCTGCTGGCCGAGGAGCAGCTGTGCCCAGCCTCGCTGCGGGACTCGGCCTACCAGGCCGCCCTCCGCGCCCACGGCTCCAGGGGCGACCAGCGGCTGGCGGAGCTGCAGGACGAGGCCCGGGACCGGTGCGGGTGGGACGTCGTCCGGGACCTGAGTGGCTTCCAGCCCCTCTGTTCCGACCTGGGTGGCCTCCCACCGTCCTCGGCGTCACCCTCTGGGACCAGGAGCCTCCCGCGCCCCATCGACAGCCAGCCGGACTGGAGCCAGGGGCGCTCCCTGCGGTCCACCAGCAGCCCTGGCTCGCTGGCCCGCAGCTTGGCCATCAGTCAGTCCCCCACCGTGCCCCTCGCGAGCCCGCAGCGCAGCGCCCCGGGGCCCAGCAAGCTCTGCCAGGAGCCCCAGGCCAGCCCGGGGCCTGAGCCTGTCCCCACGGGCTGCCAAGAGCCAGAGGAGATGAGCTGGCCCCCCTCTGTGGACGCGGCCTGCTCCCTGGAGCTGGCAGACTGCCCGGTCCCCAGGCTCCCTGTGGCGGCCCCAGCCCCAGCCCCTGCCCACCCCCCTGAGCCCCCCGAGGCTCCAGAAACCAGCAGCCAAGTCCCAGTGCAGTGCATGGAGGGGTCTGCGGGCCCCGAACCTCTGCCCCTGCCCACTGTGGAGGCCACTGAGAGTCCTGGCCTTGTCAAGGAGAGGACACCACCCCAACTCTCGGGAGAAGAGACCGCACCCCAGAAGAGCAAGCCAAGCCCACCCCCGGCCTCAGCCCCGGCCCCCACGGCCTCCCTGCCTTCTCCCCTGCCTCCGACCCCAGCCTCCGCGTCCCCCTGTCCCTCCTCCTTTGAGTCAGCGTCATCGGAGCAGAAGTTCTATAACTTTGTGGTCCTCCACGCCAGGGCTGACGAGCAGGTGGCCCTGCGAGTGCGGGAGAAGCTGGAGGCCCTCGGGGTGCCAGATGGGGCCACCTTCTGCGAGGACTTCCAGGTGCCGGGGCGCGGGGAGCTGCGCTGCTTGCAGGACGCCATTGACCACTCCGGCTTCACCATCCTGCTGCTGACCTCCAACTTCAACTGCCGCCTGAGCCTGCACCAGGTCAGCCAGGCCCTGATGAGCAGCTTCACGCAGCACGGGAGGGAGGACTGCGTCGTCCCCTTCCTGCCCCTGGAGAGCTCCCTGGAGCAGCTGGGCCCCGACACGGCCAGCCTGCTCACTGGCCTCGTGTGGCTGGACGAGAACTCCAAGGTCTTCACCAGGAAGGTGGCCAACACCTTCAAGCCGCAGAAGCTGCGGGCGCGCAAGGCCCACTGGAGGAAGGAGCAGGACGTCCGCGCCCTGCGGGAGCACAGCCAGCGCCTGGAGGGCGAGCGGCGGCAGGCGGCCGCCATGGGCGCCGCGTACTGGGACAGCCTGCAGAGCTACCGGGCCTGGCAGTCGCAGGTGGACCGGCTCCAGGCAGCCTTCGGCAGCCACTTGTCCTTCGCGACTCGGGTGCCTCACCCGTCTCAGGTGCCCCTGGGGGGCCAGGTGCCCTGGGGAGGCCAGGTGCCCTGGGGGGGGCCGTCCCCCCTCCCCACCTGGCCCGGAGGCCCCCAGTCGCCGCCGTGGCCAGCGGGCAGCCCCGCGCCCGCCTTCCCGCCGCCGCCCCCCGCGGCCCCGCCGGCCCCGGGGTTGCAGCCCCTCATCATCCACCACGCGCAGATGGTGCAGCTGGGGCTCAGCAACCACATGTGGAACCAGAGAGGGGCCCAGGCGCCCGAGGACAAGACGCAGGAAGAAGGGCGGTGACCAGCCGGGCCACGGGGCCGCCCTGGACCCCAGCACGGCCGGGCAGGGCCCGTGGACCCCACCGGGGCGCTCCCTTGGGGTCGCTGCCCCGGAGCCGCCCCCACGCGGGCAGAGGGCTTCGTGGGCCTGGGGTCGAGGAGGGACACGGGAGGTGGGGCGTTTGACGGTAATAAATATTTATTGAAGGTTCCTCGGAGCCGCCGTCTGCCCGGCGACCTGCGGCGAGCACGCGGCCACGCGCCTCAACGACGGGAGGCGGAAGCCGCGACCACGCGGGCGTCCTCTCGGGAGTAGAGCAGGACGTTGCGCAACCTGCTCTCCCCCCATTGGTCATGAGTGGGTCACATGACTTCTGTCCCGGTTGCAAAGGATTCTGGGAAATGTAGTCCTGGGGGGCGGCCACGTGCCTTTCAGAAAGGCTGGGTTCTAATAGCAAAGAAGGTGGAGACAAAAGATGTTGGGAGCCGTGCTTGGTGGCCTGCGCCTGTAGTCCCAGCTCTGTGAGCCTGAGGCAGGAGCATCGAGAGTTCAAAGCCAGCCTCAGCACCAGCGAGGCACTTAGCAACTCAGTGAGACCCTGTCTCTAAATAAAATACCAAACAGGGCTGGGGATGGGGCTCCGTGGTCCAGTGTCCTGAGCTCAGTCCTCTGTACAGCACGCTGTTACTTGGGAGTATTTCTGGGACCACCCACTTCAGGCCGACCCTTCACTGTGCTCTTTAAATGCGTGCCCCGGAATCCCCCCACCACTGGAAAGTAAGAAAGGCGAGACCGCCGGCTGAACTCTTCACACTGACAGACTTTTTTGAGGCCGGGTCTCACTGAGTTGCTTAGAGTCTCACTAAAGTGCTGAGGCTGGTTTGGAATTTGCTATCCTCCTGCCGCAGCCTCCCAATCAACTGGGATTACAGGCGTGGCCGCCGGGTCCCCGAAGGCAGGAGCTTCTGAAGGCCCATTTTACAGGTGGGGAAATAGGCCCAGGGAGTGAACTGTGGCCCCAAACATGGCCAGGTTAGGGGAGAGATCACCAGGTCCCGGGAAGGGGCAGAGGAGGCCCCCTCCCCAGCCGCGCAGGTTGAGGCAGGGCTGGGGCCAGGCCTGGTGGGGCTGGCTGAGTCACCCCCCAGCCACGCACCCTTGCTATTTTCGTTGCTGACTCAGGCTTCGTCACAGCCGGCTCCCCACGGTGGCCTGGAGTGAAACCCAGGAGCGGAGCCTCTAAGCGGATTCTGGAGTCGGGCAGGGGGCTCCTGGAAACTGCTCTGTCCACCGGCCGCGCCCGATGGCCAACGGGGAAGACCTACTGCGCAGGCCCCAGGGCGTGGCGGGGCGAGAACAGAAGGGGTCGTGGGGAGGGAACTATAAGCAGGAAAATGTCAGACACCGGAAGGGACTGGAGGAGGAGGAAGCAGGGTGAGGTGACGTTGGGTGTCCAAGAGGGAGGGACTTAAGGGACCCAGGAGGCGGCTTTGGGGCCAAGAGCTGGGGAGCAAAAGCAGAGGTCCCGGCGGAGGGCACAGCCGAGTAAAGGCCCTGGGGCAGGACCCAGCGGGGCGTGGTGGAGGCTGAAGGCAGAGAAGAGCCCGAGAGGCTGGGGCAGGGGGCGTCAGGGCGGGGAGAGCTGGGCAGGGCCTCTGCGCTGCGGGAGGACTCGGGCTTGGACCCCGAGGGAGGCGGGAACCAGGAGAGGAGGGCGAGACCTGACCCAGGTGCTCGCGGGCGCCCTCTAGTGGCTGCTTCGGAGAGGACAGACTAGGGGTGTCCAGGGCAGGAGCTGGGGACCAGGGGGAGGCCACTGCTCTTGTCCAGATGGCAGCAGAGGAAGTGGGGAACCCTTTCCCATTCCTAAGGCCGCTGGACAAGAATCCTGCCTGGGCAGCGTCACCATGACAGATCAGCCCATGGGGCCTCGGCAGCTGGACCCCACTCTGCCTCCGAGGTACTGTGGCATCCACAGCAGCCTCGGTCCCTTTCGGGGCTTCATCTTCCCTAGCCATAAAATGGACCCAGCGACCTCAGGTGTGGAATGCTCGCCCCTGCCTGTCCCCACATGACCCCAGCACACGGAGGACCCGTGGCAAGGACCTGAGGGCCTGCCCAGAGACGGCATCACTGTGCCCAGTTTACAGGTGGGAAACTGAGGCCCAGAAAGGTGAAGTCACTTGCCCAAGAGCACACAGCCACTTGGGCGAGAGAGAGGCCCAGAGACCGCAAGCTGCCAGTGCATCTCCTGCGTCAGATTTCCCAACAGGTCATCGCCCTTTTCTGGTTTTTGCAGGAGAGGGCTGTAACCCCAGCCATCTGGGCCAGCGCTCCCCCAATGGGCCTATCCAGCCCTCTCCCTGTCTGCTCTTTGATTGCGATTCTAGTTACGCCCAGGCTGCCCCAAGGGCAGGGTGGAACACCCCACCCCCCACCCTGTTTCTTTTCCCCAGACCTTTTTATATTTTATTTTGTGATAGGGTCTTGCTAAGTTGCTGAGGTCTTGAACTCACGTCCTCCTTCCTCAGCCTCCGGAACCAGGGTCATGGACCTGTCTTGGTCCTGGAGGCTTTTTTTGGTGGTGGTGCTGGGGACTGAACCCAGGGCCTTGTGCATGCAAGGCAAGCTCCCCACCAACTGAGCTGTATCCCCAGCCCATCGCGGAGGCTTTTTCCAGAACACAGGGCACACAGTGTTCAGTAAGTGAATTCACTTGATGAACCATTATTGAGCACCTGCTGTGTGCAGGAGACAGGCACTGATCAGGCAGTGCTGGCCTTTAGGGATGTGACAGGGCCCTGGGGGATTGAAGGGAGCTGCTGGAAGGAGGAAGTGGCTGAGAGCAGAGGGTGAGCCTTGACTAAGTGGAGATGGGACAGTCCCCAGCCAGGGCTCTGTCCACTCCTGCACCCAAGGCTGGGGCCTGCCTTCAGGCTGGGTTGTTCCAGGGGAAGTCCCCTGTGAGTCACGCAGCCTTGAAGAAAAATAGGAAGAAACAACAATGCAAAAAGTCCCCTTCTTTAAAGCCTGTGTGACTCTTTTTGAGGTCAGTATGCCCAGGGTGGCCTGCAGCTGTGTCCCTGCTTGGGAAACTCTCCTGGCCGTGTGAGGGTTTCCCAGAGAGGGCCTTTGCACCGTGTCACACAGCACTTGGTGGCCTGGGCTTGGCACTCCACGGATCGGTTGTCTCGTGACTGGAACATGTAGACAGTGTGGCCCTGCTCACAGGGACAGGCGTGTCTCATCGTTTTTGCTGGGACCAGTGGCCAAACTTCTCGTCCCAGCAACGACAGGAGGATTCAAGCCTGAGGTCCGCTGGGCAACCCAGTGAGACTGTCTCAAATAAAAAGTTAAAAAGGGCTGGGTGTGGCTCGGTGGCAGGGCTTGGTGTGGCACCCGCGAGGCCCTGGGCTCCAAGCCCAGCAGCACGAGAGAGAAGGGGGACAGCAGCCCTTGGCAGTGAGCTCCACTGGATCCCCACCCCGTCGCCACGTCCCGTCTGGGGACTTGCTGTTCCGGACACTTCCTGCCTATGGAGGCACACGGGGGCCTGCACCTGGCTTCCTGTCCTGCCCTCAGCCCCGGGTTCTGCAGGGCCCACCCTGTGCGCTGGGAAGTCCCCGCTGGCTCCCTCTCCTGGATGCACGTGTTAGCGCTGCCCGGGGGCGGCCGGGCCCTGCCGGGAAGCGGGAAGGCGCGTGTGCGCATGCGCGATGTGTTCTACTGCGTGCATCTGTTTCGGGGTGAACCCGGCTCTGCCCCTGAGCTGTGACCGTGGCCCCCACTTCCCTTCTTGATGATCCTCCTTGGGCGGCCCTGGCCGCACGCGGGGGCTGCAGCGCCGGGCTGGCCAAGGGCGGAGCTGCCCCCAGCTGGGTGGAGGAGGAAACGGCCCTGCCCGTTCTGGGTCACCCTGACCCTGGAGCCAGAGGTTGGTGTGACCAGCCTCCAGCTGGCCCCACCTGGGGAACTGAAAGTCAGGTGGAGAGCAGGCCTCCTGCCCGGGCTTTCTGGAGGCGGGGCAGGCCAAGGGGCAAGCGGTTCCCTGCAGTGTTTTACCCAAATGGAATTTAGGGAAGGCATCCAGGATGTCCCCTCGGGTCAGTGACCTTGCACTGCCAAGTCCAGTGGCCACTTCTCCACGCTCCTCACCCTCTGCCTCCCACCTGCCAGGCAGGTGCTGCTCCATCTGCCCTGGCTCCCCGCTGGCCCTCCTCAGGACCCTCCACAGGGGCTTCTCTGAGCCCCACCCTGAGGATCCCCAGCGCAGCGCCACCCCCACACAGCGATTCTGAACAAACAGGCCGCACTCATCCGAGGCTACCTGCCTTCTCCATCAGGACGGGCCTTCTGTCCACTCCGCTGCTGGACCCCAGGGCCCAGCACACAGCAGGTGCTCAATAAGTGTTTGGCTTTGATGAACACTGCAGCGTCTTTGGTCCGCACCCGGCCCATTTCTCCTCTCCACCCCACCCTGGTCCTTCCCTCCACTGTCCTGGGACTGAGCACCTGCTGTGTACCCGAGGCTGGAGGCCCTGCGGCTGCCCTCCTAGGCGTAGGGCCCACGGGGCGGGGGCAGACCTGTGAGGGGTGTCCCAGAGTGTGCCTGGGTGTGAAGGGGACCCAGAGGGCACTGCCAGGCCGGTCCGGGAGGGGTGCTGAAGGAAGGGAGGGTCCTCTGGTGGTGGGGGAAGCATGGCCATGTGAACCCGGGCACGGACTGTCTGTCCAGCCTGGAAAGGGACGACTTAGGGACACAGGTTACCTTGGGGAGCCAGACAGGGCCACTAGATGGCGCTGTGTGACAGCAGGGCGGGGAAGCAGCCACGCACTCAGCCTCTGAAAACAGCCGGGTGGCGTCCTCACCATAGGCCACCCCAGTGCTCCCTGCCACACTGCAGATGGGGACACCGAAGCGGGCGGGGGCATTAGTTTGCAGATGGCCAGGCCAGACGGCAGGGTAGCGCCCACTGGAGGCTGAGCTTGCCCTCCAGGCCCTGCCCGAGGTCACCTCTGACCCAAGACCTGGGCTTCCTGGCTCAGAGGCTGACCCCAGGTGGCCCTGGGGGGACCCTATTTTTAACCTGTTCTGTGGCGCAGCCTTATTATAGCTCTGGGAGGCCGCCAAGGGCGCTGAAGTCCATCATCTCTGTGAGAGGAGCTGCCAGGGAGCCCTGCTGCCCTCTTGCCCGGGCTCCTGGGCCCCC